TCGGGAATTCGTTGCATAAATCTAGTATTTAACTTATTCTTAATTCATTAAATAACTCAATTGAGAATTTAATTCTCAAAATTTTCAACCGGAATATATAGATTTATAAACCAAGAGTAAACCAAATGTAACCCTTTGAAGAATCATTCACCATTTTTAAAATACGTAAATTATTATCACTATTGAGAAAATCCAACAACGACAACATACTCAATAAGCGATATTGCGATAAAGAATTAAATCAATATAGATAAATAATTGATCAAAATATAATCAAAGAGCTAATCCATTCAATAGAAAAAGCATAACTGAATTCATAAACATAATAAATTTTATGATTATTCGGAAAAAAAAATATCAACAATAAATTAAGAATGATAAAATAAAAGAGTTTTACTAATTAAAAATTAAATACATAAATTAAAATAAAAAAAATACAATTTATTATACAAGTTCATCCCTCGCCTTACCTAAGAATTTAGTTACCCATAAATATAATGGATAACAAAAATCTCCCAAAAAAATAGAACAAATCGAAGGTCATCAGCATATTTTTTTGTTCTTTGATCTACATCCGTCTTCTGCCCAGAACCAGCCACCTGCCTTCCTTTTCTTTTTTCCAGTGTTATCAGAACCGGACCGGACCGGCCAGTCGGACCGGTTCAACCGTGAACCGGGACTCTAACCGGTCCGGTTCCTTAGTTGAACCGTTTAAGAAAGCGAACTGACTAAAAACCAAAAAATTGGCCGATTTTTAACAAAAACCGTGAACCATCGGTTTTATAAAAATCGGACGGTTTAATGCCTATTTAAAAATTAAATTACATAAATAAATTTTTTTGCCCTAAATCAGTAAATAGCTGATTTTTTTTAACCTTATTCTTGGATAAATTATAAATGCCACCCTTTCTTTTTCTTTATAATTTACTTGTACCTCTTTACTTTGCTTTAAAATACAATAACCTCCACTTTGTTACTTAATTTCATTAATTTTATGGCAAATTTTATGTATTTTATATTTTTTAACTAAATTATTGAGTTTTATAATTATTAAATATATATTTTTATTATATGACCGGTCCGACCAATTGATTCAATGGTTGAACCAGTGAATCATTGATCCGGTCCCCTTGCCGGTTCGATGACCCATCCGGTTATGATAACATTACTTTTTTCTTTATTCCAGTCGCCTCCACCACAAGAAAAAGAAATAGGTTTAAAGTTGATAATACTTAAAATAATTTTCAACCATGAGGTTGAACCAGAAGGTCGAATAAAAAAGTCAGGCCAAGAGGTCAGACTAGTAGGTCTGGACAAGAAGTCAAAAAAGGCACGTAGAGCTCAGGTTAGACCTAGATTCCCCTCCCCCCAGGCGCATCAACAGCGAAAGTGATAAAGGAACAGCTGGATGATAACAGAAATATGTTAGGTGGCAAAGAGCCATACTCAAGACATAAAATCCTTAACCAGCCAAGATTTTCTTCTAAGAAGGAGGATTCCTCGGATAAATAGCAAGGATCTCGGTGCAAATCCCATAGAATTAGGAACAGTTGTATAAATATTATGTAACTCTTCCAAAGCAGAAGGAGAACCGTAGTAACATAAATTCTATCCTTTAAACCTTCTGAAGAGTGAAAAAAAAAAGGAGCAAGAATCTCTATTGAGGAATGGACCAGCCAAGCTTTTGAGCTGCTGAATCACTATATTTTTGTTGTGTCAATCCCCCAATCCCCCAACGATTTTAAGCATTGCTCTCTCGAGCCTTATGGCTTAGATCCTAGTAGCCAAGATACTCTTCATGCCATCTGTTCATGACCACACGATGATTTACGCCATCAAATGTCAAACTCTTTATTGAAAATAATTTCTCCTCCTCCCTTTATTCTAGTTTTTTTTTTATTTTTATTTTAGTCCTTAAAGTCCAAATTTATATGCATGTTGAAAAAAATAAAGCCCAAATCTGCTGAGTATCGGGTATATCATGACAGCTGATCAGTTTCAGTGGTTTTACTTCATGGACTGTCATAAAATAAAAACAAATATAAAAGTCAAATAATAAAGTTTCAAAAATGTTAATTGTAAAATTCATTTGTAAATTATCTCTCACCAATCAATAATGTAATATTTAAGATTTAAAATATTATAAAATCATGTTCAAATATATCTCAGTATGAATAGATATTAAATTCAATAATATAATTTATATCTAATTATTTCTATTTAAATTTTAACATTTTAATCCAATAATTGAATATTTAAAATGCATTTTCGCGCACTCATCATGAACTACAGCTGCCACCACTACAACAGTCGTCGGCATTTATCACAATCATTACCGTTTTCTACCACCACCACTGCTGTCCATCACAATTACCATTTCTCACTCCTATTACTATCGATACTTAAGTTTTTTATTCTCTTCTCTATGTCTGTGATTTGATTTTGAGTATAGATATAAATATATTTATTATTGATTATTTTTTTTATTACTATGTACGTTCAAATACGAAAAATAACTAATTTATATATATTTTACATGTCTTTTTTTATAAGAAAATATCATATGCATAGCCTAACAAATTCACCAGTGTAGCATGTTTTGATAATCTTTTCTTCGGTCAACTAATGAAAGATGCTAACGTTAAGCAAGTGGATTTATTTGGATTTACGTAATCTCAGAAGTCATAGGTTGTTTTTTTCACCATTGATATGCTTTATAACATATGCAATCTTTTAAAAAAAATGATAATTTTTTTGATCGTCATGGAAAAAATATCGTTTTTTAGCACTATAGATCATAATTAAGAATTGAAAGAAGAGAGAGGAGAAATAAAGGATATAATTAATTCAAAAGTCAAAGTAATAGTTATAACTAACACTCTTTTAAAAATTAGAACATCACCTAATTAAAACACATATTCTAAAAAATTGTTTGTCCAGTACACTAATAAAATATACAAATCATCAGACAGGTACACTAATAATAAGAAATGATACAATTTTTAGGGGTAGTTTAGCAGTTCAATTTGATCATTGGTAACCCATAAGTTTAAAATTCGATATTTCTTAACCCATAAGTTTAAAATTCAATATTTCTCGCACCTCTAAAGGGCTAGCAACCCTTGTTCTTTTAGGAAAATACTTTAATCCAATTTAAGTCACGGTGACCAGTCGTTGAGTTCGACGAAATAGTTGACACAAGCTTAGACACTATGTAACCAAAAAAGAAGAAGGATTAATTATATTGAAGGTCCCCCAAAATATGAGATTTATCTCATTTTGGCACTCAATATGTATCATTTTAGTTTCTGAAGTATTGAATATATTTCTATGTAATTCCTTAAACAGACATTATCCAAATTGTTAAAATTTTTTGATTATAAACTTATCACATAATATATAAATATTAACAAAAAATAATTTGAATAACTATTCACTAAATTTTTACATAAATTTTGGTTAAAGAGTTACCTAAATTATAAAGTTTTGATCATGAGATATCTAAATTTTAGTTAAAAGTTATCCATATTACACATTTTTGGTTAAGAGCTATCTAAATTATTTTTTGTCTATATTTAGATATCACGTGACAAGTTTATGATAAAAAATCGTTAGTAATTTAAATATTATCTGTTTAAAAAACTACATAAATACATACTCAATACTCCATAAACTAAAATAATACAAATAAAATAATTTTAAAATTAAAATAAAATAAACTCTATAATTTATAGACTTTTTGGGCAGGTAACCCAACAAAAAAAATAATAAAAAAGTCATTTGTTGGTCAATATTGATTCCTGCGCCAGCCCACCAAGTTTTACTCGAAATTCAATGTTGGCGGCGATGTTGAACATCAATAAACAGTGGGGGAATTACATCTAAACCCCATTAATTTTGTTCATGACATTGGAAATATTGCATTAAGACCTCTAACGTTTACACACATAACACTTAGACTTTTATTATAAATATATACATTAATAAATTATACTTAAATCCTCTAAAATTTATGAGTATATAATACTTAGACCCTTTAAATTTAAAATATTATATTTAGACTAAAAATACTCCAATCAAATATAAAATATAAAATATTTTGAATTTTATAATCAAAATTCATATTCTATTGTATTATTTATTGAAATAAAATCAAAAATAAAAATTTAATTTTTTTTAAATTTTTTTTAATTAGATACAATTATATTGTTTATTAGAATTTAATTTAATCTTTTAAAAGACCAAATTAAAATACCAAACTACCCCAATTAAATCTAAAAGATATTGTGTCAATTATAGTTTGATTCCTTATTTAATTTTTTTGTTTAGTTCTATTAGACAGTATAAATATATACTAACAATTTTTTTTTAAAAAAATTAAATTTTTTATTTTTGATTTTATTTCAATAAATGACATAATAAAACGTGAATTTTGGATGTAAAATTCATGTTCTATTATGAATGACTTAGACACATTATTTGATTTTTTTTGTTTTATTCCAATAGATAGTATGATTGTATACTAATTATAATTTTTTAAAGCAAAAATTTAATTTTTATTTTTAATTTTATTTCAATAAATGATGCAATAGAACATGAATTTTAGTTATAAAATTTAAAATATTTTATATTTTATATTTGATTAAAATATTTTTGGTCTAAATATAATATTTTAAACTTAAATGATCTAAGTATTATATATTTACAAACTTTAAGGGAGTGTAAGTATAATTTATTAACGAATATATTTACAACTGGATCTAAATGTTATGCGTAAACAAACTTTAGGAGTCTGTGTGTAATAATTTAAATATTAAATGGTCTGAATGATTAAGTGACAAATTTCAGAGGATCTTAGTGTAATTCTCCCATAAACAAAACTCAACAACTCCCCTTCACCCAATTCAAAAATAAAAAGCCTGTGCACCATTGAGATTGCGAACCAAACTCCTTCATTCTCACTTCAATTCTTAGTTGTTTGAGTTTGATTTTATCAATCAATGGCACCAAAATCACACAAAAATCCCACCAAACTCTTCCTGCAATGCCTTCTAGCCATGTTCCTATGCTCACAGTCGTCACAAGGTACTGAGCTTAAAGAAACCTTTATCACAGTGTACCTTCAAGACCGGTCTGCAGGGCCTGGTACTCCCGGAGGACTCAACTACACCGTCGTTCCCGTCACTGGCATCCCCGGAAAACTTTGGGCATTCAACAGCTTTGGAACCATATACTCTGGCGATGATCCTTTAACCGAAGGCCGGGATGAGGGTTCAGCTCCGGTTGGTCGGATGCAAGGTATATTTGTGACGGCGTCACTTGATGGGACTATTGTACAAATATCGGCCTCACTTGTGTTCACAAATAAAAAGTATAATGGTAGCACCCTCGAACTCCAGGGTGCTAGTTCGTATCTTAACACGGTGAGAGAGGTGGCCGTGGTGGGTGGCACTGGAAAATTCCGGTATGCAAGGGGCTTTGCAACGTTTGAGACAATTTATTATGAGGCATCTACGGTCTATTGTCTAATTCAATGTAATGTTACTGTGCAACATTATGAAAATCTAAGCACAAAAGATTATTCCTTGATATAATAAGTTTTTAAAGATTTTCTAGTGATTTGAACTATATGCTCTTTGTTTTTTTTAAGTCTCGGCTATATCAATTTTTTGTTTGATCGTGAAATATTGGAAGATTTTTCAAGGTAATTTGAAATTTGGAGTGTAATTCTATTGTGCATCATTGTTACGGAATTATAAATGTTAAGAATCGCATAAGTTGGGCATAAGTTGGACAATTGGTTGGACATTATTGAAAGGTGTTCTCTTATTCCTCATTTGGGTGCTCCTTTCTTCTGTCTCTTTATGATTGGTCTTTTTCTAGTCCTCTTTGGATGCTCCTTTCTTCTCTCTTTATGATTGGTCTTTTTCTAGTTCTCTTTGGATGCTCCTTTCTTCTGTCTCTTTGTGATTGGTCTTTTCTAGCCCTCTTTGGATGCTCCTTTCTCTACCCTAGTGTGTTTCTCTACCCTGGTGTGTATTAAGATCAATTTTTTAAGTTTAAATAATATTATTTATTTATTATTTGTGCCATCATTTTCTTAATCATGGGTCGAACCACGTTTGGGGTCTATTGAAAACTCTGGATGTTTGTACTTTTTCATAATTGACTCCCGCAATCTCTCTAAAGGTGAAGAGACGAGGGATCAATTTCCAAAACTTGGAAGTAGTGGGATAAATTTTACTATTATAAAAACAAATCAAAGATGGGGATTGTTTGTTTCAAATGATTAAATTATGGGATTTTTGGAAGTCGGTACACCTAATTAGATTTATTTGATAAAAAATATATATTAAAAAATATTTTAGAAAAAGGTATACTAGTTAAATACAAAGATATAAATGCCCCATTTTAGGAAAAGTGGTGCATTAAATATTTTCTAGTTTTATGGGAGAACTTTAATATTTAATGCACATTAATTCATGTATATATATATACACAAATAAGTATATATAAATACGTATAAACAAGTATATATAAATACATACATATATATATATATATATATATATATATATATACATATACATTTATATTTATATGTATATATATATACTTATATATATGTATATAAATATAATATATGTATATATATTTATATACATTTATATTTATACGTATATATATATACTTATATATATGTATATAAATATAATATACGTATATATATTTATATTTACACTTGTGTGTATATATATACACAAGTATGTATACACGTGTAAAATATAATATTGAAAGTATAAAGTGTAAAATATTACCTTATGTCTCATCTTATTTAATGGAAAGTGTAAAATATTATATGTTAACATTAAAAGTGTAACACTTTCACACTTTCTCAATTAATTAATATTTTTGGTGTAAAATGAGACATGTATATTCTGTTTGTGTAACACTTTAGGTAATGTCTCCCCTTACCTTCTGTAAATAGTTTGTTATATTATTATTGTTACTTTTAATATTACCCTATAACACTTTATATTTTCTATTAAGAAATGTGAGATATAAAATAATATTTTACATTTTACACTTTTAATGTTACACTTTACACTATCAAAAGTGTTACACTTTACACGTATGTATGTATGTATATATATATATATCATTTTTGAAAGTGCATTAAATACTAAAGTTCTCCTATAAAATTAAGAGATATTTAATACACCACTTTCTAAAGAACATACACATGGATCAATAGTCGATAAAAATGTCATAAAAAATTAGGCAAATTCAAATTGTGTACTTAGATACAAATAAATATCAAAATTAAAGACTTAATAACCTTACATTTTTTAATGTATATTTTTTATCAAATAAGTCTAATTTGATGTACCTTTATAATTCACCCTTAAATCATACCATTTATTATGGTATCATACTACCATTATTGAAAAAGTTGGACTTAAGACACAACATTTGGCCCGTGGCATAAGTATCTGCCCAGAAGTCTGATGGTCGAATGTGTAATACTTCTGGGCTGGCTTTGGCTTGTAGGTTTAAGGCACACTTGAGTCAGTTCGATGGATTAGCCGCCAAAACCTTGGCAGGACAAGCAGGTTGGGTAGACCATGGAGTGTACGAGTGTTCACCCTAATTTACAGTTAGAAATTATAATATTTTATCTTTTTAATTAATTTTTTGTAAAATATCAAAAAAATTTTTATTGACTTACCCGATTCTTTTAAGTAACCGATTAATAAAGTAAAGTAGAATAGGATAAGATCGAAATTTTGAACACCCCTAATGGAGTGTCATCTACAATATCGGGGATAAAAGTTTAGTACATCATCGCATTGTACAATTGTAAAGTTTTTTTGGGATTTTAGGATCGATCCCAAATATCTAAACAATTGTAACTTGCTCAAAAAAAATTGTAATTTGAACATTGAAATTTCTAATATGACCTAAAAAGTTATACACCAAATTTTCAGTTGTAAAGATATCCCAAAAATTTGTATCTAAACTCAGACGTTTTGATTTTAAATCTTGATAATCACTTGGGGTCAAGTTATGTAAGGAATTTTATGCCTCATAAATACCTTAATCTTGATGTGAATGACTTACTTTTGACTGGACCGACGAGAGAATTAACCGAAATACATGTAAGTTGGTCAAACAACCTTTGCCGTTGAACTAAAAATTAAAATAAAATTGTATCTAAAGATACAAAACTTGTGAACTTTTATTACTGATATTAATTGTGTACATCAATAAAGAATACAATGGTAGCTCCTTGGAAATACAGGGTACTAGTCGGCAATTTGAGAAAGTGAGAGAGGTCCTTTCGTGTAAAATGCAAGAAAATTTAAAATTTTTATAAAAAAAGGTTAAAATGGTAATTTGTTATTATGGTGCGGGTTGAAAACTTGTATTTTTCTAGATCTCGGATGATAAAATTGACCTCACCGTTGGATTTGTCCCGCGAAATCTAGTTACCCAGACAATTTTCGTCGAATTCCAAGATAGTCTTTTTACGCTTTTCGAGACGACGGGTGTCAGGTGACCTCAAAAACGCCCAAAAAATAAAAAATTCTAAAATTTTATTAAAATTTAAAGAAAGTTCATGTAAAATATTTTGAACTTAAACCAGAGCGAAATTTAATCGTTTTGAGACGAAAATTGACCCGAAAAAGGGAGGGCGTGTGGCTCGACGTGGGCCAAGCTTTAAAAATTATAAATAGGGGAAAATATATGATTTTTCCCACTTATTCAGCTGGGTTCTCTATTGGTTTTAGACATTGTAGAGAGAAAGAGAGAAAAAAAAGAGAAAAATCCAACTTTGTCTCAACGATTCATGGAGTTTCGCCGGTCGAAATTCTTCGGGTTAAGAGTCCAAGTCGATCTCCTCGGCGAGGGCTACGCAACCATACCAAAAACGAAGAATTTCACTAAAGATTCAAAAATGAAATTTTGGGGAAAGCTTGAGTTTGAGCTTGGGATTAAGTTTTTGGAGGTTTTCTGCATTGATTTTACGTTTCAAGAAGTAGAGTTCCCTCCTACTTTGGTTTATTTCTAACCTAAGGTGTCCATAGGGTTTATGTGGGCTATTTTGGGTATTTTTAACATTTGCTTATTATAGTTGGTTTAATGGAAATGGGTAGGCTTAATTTTAGTGTGAATTGATAATTAAAAATTACTAGTTTGTGATTTCTTGAAAGTTTTGATAATTGGGTATGTGGAAATTATTTATTTTGATTTTTTTGAGTTATATGATGAATTTGAGTGTATTATGTGTTTACATGAGTGGTGCCTTGAAGGTGTTTGATTAAATGCCAAAGTGAAAATTAAGTATGTTTTGAATGGACTATGTATAGTATGCTTGAATATTGTGTTAGATAAAAACTTGTCTATTGTTATGAACATGAAGAAATGGGTGTAGAAATGGTTTAATTCAAGTTCTACCTTGAATTTGATATGTGGAAGTTCCTTATGAAACTTCTTGAAATTTAGTATTGTGTGGGCATGCTATGTGTTTAGAGTGTGCACTTGTGAGTAAAGTGTGTTTTGAACATAAATTGTGCAATAACATGCTTGTTATGAAATATGGATGTATACATGGTTGTGATATATTGATATAGTGATAAATTATGGTATTTATATGCTCGTAATATAATTTACCATGGATATGTTGATTTATGTTGAATTTGTTCATATGATATTCATTACATATTGAACATGTGGATAATGTTGCAATGATAATTTACATTGCATATGCACGGAGGCATCACATTCATGGGCATAAGGCATGGGTGTGAGTGTGTGTGCATGGTTAATTAAACACCATACTTGGTGGATGATGGGTTATGTTAAAATGTATGGTTAAATTGATCCATATGACACTCATTACATGTGGAGCATGACATTGGTAGTGCAATGGTTCATTTCATTACATATGAATGTTGGCATCACACTCTTGGGCATGAGTCATGAGTGTGGGCGTGTGTATATGCATGGGTGATCAAACACCATACTTGGTGATTGGTGGGTGGGGTCGAAAAAGTTGGGTTGAAAATTCGACTGAGTTATATGGTTGCAAGAATATGGGGTCGGGGTTAACAAGAAGGGCTAGAAAATTCCTTAGGTGAGAGACCCGGTGACTTGGATACGCACTCTAGTGGTATAAGAGTCCATAAAGTGTGTCGGTGTACGCAAAATCATTGGTGAAAATCCATGAATTCTGTGTCGGTTGGGTGCCATTGGTGTAAGTCCATAAATACTCACCCCACGAAAGACCCTGAGATTTTAAAATGATCATTAGATGAAATTCATAAATGACAGCTTTTCTACACATTGACATTTGCATTGTGTTGTGAGAGCCCGTGAAGGCTCGGGTTAAGGTGCGTGAGTGAATCTCATTTCATTTTGTTTTATAGGATAACATGGTAGAATTCCAATCTAGAATTGCATATTCTTACTTGGAATGTTGATGTGAATATGAATATTTTATTGTGAACATTGCACGTGCACTTAGGTGGGGAGTAGCCTCCGTAGGAATTACTCTACTAGGCGTGGCTCACCTTATACGGGAAAACATTTC